TATCTAAAAATTAGGATCAAAATATATATTAATGGCCAAGCCCGCATTTCTACCATATGCTAGCTGGCTGCATAGATACCGTGTCCATATATAAATATTTGAAAATAAAAACTCTAGATAACGCGTTACAAGATACACTAGTTTTGAAATTTATTAAGAGTATTCAAAAAGCGTTACAAGATACACTAGTTTTGAAATTTATTAAGAGTATTCAAAACTCTAGTTGCTCCATTTAGAGATTTCCTCGATTATTACTTTCAAAGAGGAAGAATTTAACACCAAAGGGAGAAAAAAGAGAGAAAAAGAGGGGGAAGGAACACAGGTGTGCAGCTGCACCAAATTTGCCTCCTGCATCTCAACAGATATCATGTTAGAGAGAGATAGACTCGGTCTCTCCAGATCTGGTCTTCATGGGACTCTCCATCATTTGTAGTCGAGTAATAGATTTGTTTGTAGTAGTTTCAGGGGAGAGAGAGAGAGTTCAACAATGGAAGCACCTCCTCTTTAGAAACCCAACAACAAATAGAACCCATGGACTTCAGGGTTCCCTACAGTTTGGATGGCTTGCACCAATCACCATCGTACCCCCATCTCTCCATTCTTGCTAGACTTGAGAGCCTTGATCTCAAGGTGAATCCTTCTTATTTCAAACTCAAATCTCTCTCTGGTTCCTCTGAATTATTATTTTTATTGTGTTTGTTTGTTGGTTCCTTTGCATTATTTTGTACTCTCTCTTTAGTCAATGACATACTTACAATCATTTTGATTTGAAATTTGACGGACAAGAATGATTGTGAACTTCTTGTAATAAAAATAAATGGTTTATACATATATATATATATATATAGTAATGATCTCCCTCCTACACCTATGTGTGAAGGATCTCAAAGGATCACCATTAAATTTGATACAAAAATCAAGTCCCACACCTATGTAAAAACTTTTCTAAAGATCTGTACTAAATTTAATGGTGATATTTTGAGGTCCTATACACGTGGGTGTGGGAGGGTCTCAAAGGATCATTACCCATATATATATATATAGGAAAACTCTTAAAAACACCATAGGGCGATCCGCCTGCAATAGCTCTTGCAGAGCCGTTGTGGTTTCGCGTGAAAATTGACTGCCTAGGATATACTATATCATAATATGCCTCGTGTGGTCAACTTATCCGTACCGTCTAAAAAAATTGGATGTTGCCTAGCCTATAGGCGAAATCACTATTCATTTCACACATAGGTATTGTGTAGTAGAAAAAAGTTTATGTAACATATCAACCTTATACTGTATAAGTAAGGTGCACCTAAAAATCCCACTAGAGAACGATGTTCCTATGATAGAAAACCCTCAAATCGATCATCTCGACCTCGAGATTTATCGATCATCTTGACCTCGAGATTTATCGATCATCTCGACTTCAAGATTTATCGATCATCTCGACTTCGAGATTTGTCGATCATCTCAACCTCGAGATTCATAGACATAAAAAAAAAAAAGGCTTTCTAGTACTAAAAATAGTTCATCTTCTAACACATTATTTGGACCATCCATTTTCAATATTTTCAAATTTTTATTGACTTGATCCTCACCATTTCAAGAACTTTAAATTTCATAATTGGGGGGACAACAATAGATTGTTATATCACCGAAACTACATTTTCAACATAGTTTTTGAGTTGCACCTTATTTTAATAGTATAAGGTTGACACTTTATATAAACCTCACCTCACATATATGGAAAATGTTTATATAAGGTTGCAACATTATACTATAGAAGTAAGGTGCACCTTAAAAATCCAATGGAAAATAGTATTTCAAAGTTAAAAAACTATCCAATTGATCATCATGACCTCGAGATGTAGAGATATAAAGAAAAAAAAAAGATGTAAGTCCTAAAAATAGTTCATCTTATGACAAATGATCTGAGCTGTCTATTTTCAAGATTTTCAAGTATTTATAGATCCATTCAATTTGCATCATTTTTCATATTTTGAATTTCATAATTAGGGTTGAACATAAATTTTCAAGTCAACAAAATGTTTCGGACACCAAAACTGCATCTTTCAATAAAATTTAGAGGTGCACCTTACGCGTATAGTACAAGGTCGGTGGCATCTTATAGAAGCCTCACCCTATATATATTGGATTACTGTTAATGATGGTGTATTGTGCAGCTGAATAGGATAGAAGAGAAGCGTAGCCTGTTAGAGAGGGAGAGTTGCTCAGAGGAGGTCTTGAATGGAAGATGCAGACCTTTGGCTTCAGTCTTACAAGAAGTTTGTTACCAAGGAACACTCATGGATCGGCTCCAAATGCTAGAAAACAGGATTTTAATGGTGAAAATCATACTTAGATTATAAATCCAAGTTCATGCATTAAAGTCATAGTGTCCTTTCACCGGATTACATTGTACATTTACTCCTTTGGGAAAAAGAGCTACTTGGTCTGGCTTTTTGGATGACATTTACTCCCTTGGGTAAAAGACTTACTCAGTGGGACTTTTTCAATCTGAATTCTGGGGATCCACTGAAACACCGATTATTTAAACATAATTGGATTTTGACTTATTAAACAACCCGGGATTCAAAAATTTGGTAGGGCCTTTTTTTTTTAATCTTACAACATAAAAACCCTTTTTTTTTTTCTTTTTTTTCTTTTTTTTTCTTTTTTATTTGGAAATTGGTTGCGAGGTTGAGGAAGTCATTTTGCCCAAATTTGATGTCCTAAAAATACTCCTAGATAGTCGAACCAGAGGGAGTGAATGGTGAATGTGATCCCACAAGAGCATATGATACTTACCAAAAAAAAGAAAAAGAGAGCATATGTTCTTTCCACTTTATTCTAAGTTATTTATTTCTTTTGATGTTTATTAGCTGAGCTATGAGATGGAGAATGATGGCTTGTTTCCCTCTCAAGAAGTGCCAAATTACCAATTAGCCCCTAATTATGGGCTAGGTGATGAGAAGAAGGACCTTGTATTTTCGCAATGGTTGAATAAGAGGAGAGAAAAAGAGGGTGAAGAAGAGCTTCCCATTTGTTCGCACGAACAATTCGATGGCAATGAGCCCACACCACAGGTTGGTCATGATATATTGTATATGAAAAAATTGCCAATCTGACTCAGAATCAAATTAGAGTTATTCAAAAGTCATCGATCTGACTTATAACTAAGTAGGATTGGAATAAAAATGGGGCATCGGTGGTCAAGGAAGCGGGTGTCTCAACATAACATCTCACTCTATAATCCTGCTATTACCATTTTAAAAAAAGGAAAATGTTGAGTCAACCACTTCAATGATTTTTTGAGGTGGTTTGACTATTAAATGATATTTACTCTACTTCCAAACATTAGCCCACCAATTGAGGCTCAATGTGAAGCTCTTGTTTGAGTGATTTACACAAAAAAAAATTTCCTCATAAAGTTTGATATATTATTCATACTTATTTTTTGAGATTTTTATTTTTAACATTGTTTTTTTTTTCTGATCATGAAAGTCTAAAGTTACTTTTATTTTATTTGATTTTATATCAAATCCTCAATGTCCCAAATTACTTCTTTTTTTGTCCTTGAAGGTCCAAAGTTTAAAACAAGTTTTGAAACCTTTTTTTTTTTCGAGCACGAGTCCATCAAGGTCCCAAATTGTGAAGGTCTCTCAGTGAAAAGAAAAAAGATTTTGGTCACTTCGGACCTTGAAGGGCTCATGTGCGAAAAAATAAAAAACAAAAATCAGATCTTTAAATTTCGAAATAGAAATAACTTACAAAAAAAAAGAAAACCAAAAACTAGATATGAACCGATTGCAATGGGGTTTTAAGATAAGGAAATGGGGATCTTAAATTTCTCTTTGGATCTTCCTTTTCTTAAAAAAATTTCTTCTTCCTTTTCTATTTGCAGGAAAAGAGTGTGAAAGAAGTGATTAATGGAAAGGGAGCAGAGAGTGGAAGAAAAGGGAGAAATGAGAAGAAGAGAAGGCATCATTATGGAAAGTGGCCTCATTATAGAAGGTGGTTCTCATTTGGGTGTTAAATACATCTTGTTTCCCAGTATTTTCTCACTAACATGCCTCAATTTTCTTGAATGACCAAGGAAAATCTATTGCAATAATCTCTCTCTTTCTCAAATTTATTTTTCTATTTGCTATAATCTTTCTCTCACTTATATTCATTTTCTATTTTGTAGAACAAAAAAATAGAACTTGTTGCAACCTTAAACAATCCAAATAAGGTGCAACCTCAAATTTTATCATGAGCTATTATTTTGGTGCCAAAAGTTTTTAGGATGGTCTTATGATCCATTTTTATCTCTACTTATAAATTTTTGAACTCCAATAAATAGTTCAAATCAAGTGAAATCAGACGGTCTAGATAATGTGTTATATGATTCACTATTTTTTGGAGTCGAAATCTTTAACTTTTCACATATTCATATATCTTAGTATCGAGATTATCAGTTAGAGGGTTTTCCAACATCAAAACTATATTTTCCAATGAATTTTTGATGTGCACCTTCATTCTATATTTTAAGGTTGCGACCTTATATAAGCTTTTTCAATAGTTAATAATCCCTCTCTCAAATTTAATTTTGTATTTGGCTGAATAAAATTAACTGCTTTACTAACTTTTATGTTGAGCTAAAAAAGGAATCACACCAAAACTTGAAACTTCAAAAAGGGCATAATAAAATATGAAAAAAGTTTATATGAGGATGCTACCTTATAACGTAGAACTACAAATGTCTTAAGAATCGATCAGAAAAGGTAGTTTTAATGTTGAAAAACCCTTTCATTGATCATCTCGACATCGAGATGTATGATCATGAAAAAAGAAGGTTTTAAGTCTAAAAAATAGTGCATTTTACAACGTATTATCTATACAGTCCATTTTCAAGATTTTTATATGTTTATAGATCTACTTGATTTTAACCATTTTTGAAATTTAAAATTTTACAATTAGATATAAAAATAGATTTTGAGATAATCCTAAAAACATTTTACATCAAAGTTATATACCTGATAAAATTTGAAAGTGCACCTTATCTCTACACCTATGGATGCATTTGTATGCAAAATTGCACCCATATATCTCTCTCAATCTCAAATTTAATTTTGTTATCTCTACTCCTATGGATGCATTTGTATGCAAAATTGCACCCATATATCTCTCTCAATCTCAAATTTAATTTTGTATTTGGTTGAATAAAATAACTGCAATGAAAAATTCAGACTTCCAAAAAGATATTGAAAAAATTCAGACTCTCTCAATCTCAAATTTAATTTTGTATTTGGTTGAATAAAATAACTGCAATGAAAAATTCAGACTTCCAAAAAGATATTGAAAAATTCAGACTCTCTCAATCTCAAATTTAATTTTGTATTTGGTTGAATAAAATAACCGCAATGAAAAATTCAGACTTCCAATAAGATATTGAAAAAATTCAGACTCTCTCAATCTCAAATTTAATTTTGTATTTGGTTGAATAAAATAACTGCAATGAAAAATTCAGACTTCCAATAAGATATTGAAAAAACTCAAATTTAATTTTGTATTTGGTTGAATAAAATAATTGCAATGAAAAATTCAGACTTTCATGAAATAATTGCCATGAAAAATTCAGACTTCCATAAAATAAAAAATTCAGACTTCCCAAAAGATATTGAAAAAATTCAGAAGTCCTTCCAAAAAGATATTGAAAAAAATTCAGACTTCCAAAACGATATTGAAAACGCCGTTGCCGTGATCGAAACTGGGTCACCCGCGTAACAGGCAGGAATACTCACCACTGTACTACAACGACTAGATGTGGTAGTGTAATGGATATTTTTAATTTATTAAAATATAATAAAATTTGCTTGAATCTTCTTAATGGGTGTTGTTTGCAAGAGGTTCCAACGATCGTATTACGGTACCCAAAACCTTTGTCATGATATGCAAATTTCGTGTCAAAATGTTTAAAGATTGTGCGAGAATATATGTTTATCTCTCGTTATAAAATTTTAAACTTCAAAAAAAGTTCAAAATATAAATACATGAAAATATTGAAAATAGACCGTACACATAATGTGTTGCAAGATGTAGACTTGAAATGTCTCATTTTTTTCATATCTATACATCTCGATGTCGAGATGATTAATTAATTTTTTTTCACCAACAAAACAACATTTTTCAAAGGATTTTAGTGGTGCACCTTAATTCAACATTTGAAGGTGTCAACCTTATATAATTTCCTTTTCTTTATAAAATTTTTTGAGCTGAAATTTTTGGGAAGGGTTCACTGAACCTCATAGCACATGGAAAAAATATAAATATAACTATGTAAACTAATCAAACTGTGAGGTTTGCACACCTTATACTTTTTCCATACAAGTAAGGCGCACCTCTAATTTTTGGTCGAATGTGGTTCATGTATCAAAAACCTTAAGATGACTTGAAAATCTATGTTAAACTCTTATTATGAAATCCAAATTTCTAAAAACAATGCAGATAAAAAAGATATATAAATATTTGAAAATCATGAAAATAAATACTCTAGATAACCTTGTACAAGATGCATTATTTTTAAGAATTAATTAATTTTTTTTTTTTATCTATATCCATACATCTCGAGGTCAAGATAATCAATTTGAAGATTTCCCAACTTCAAAACGTTCTTTTTTACTGGATTTTTAAGGTGCACATTACTTTTGTCGTGCATGGTTGCACCGTTATATAAACTTTTTTCTTTATCAAAATACATATAACATATCAATATTTAATGGGTGCAGCTTGTATAGAGCCTAGGCTTTAAACAATCAAATTAGAGCCTACATTCAAATAGTGTCAAGAAATGTGGTTTCAATACCGGAAATCTTTTTGATAGCCTTCAAATATAAGGAAATGTTTATGTAGAGCCGAGGCTCTAAACAATCAAATTAGAGCTTGCCTCAAAAATTTCATTAGAAGAGATTGGTTTGATGTCGAAATATCCTCAAATTGATTATCTCGACACTATTTTTGAAGCTTTAAACTTTATAAATAAAGATCAAAATATATTTTAAGGCTATCGCAAAGATTTTCAGAGTTGAAACCATATTTCTCGAAACTATTTGAAGGTAAGCTCTAATTTGATTGTTTAAAGCCTAAGCTCTATACAAACCGCACCCTAAAATATATCTTCATCTTTATTTATATAGTTTTAAAAACTAGTGTAAATTGAGAGACCTATAAAAACTTGAAAATCTTGAAAATTGACGATCCAAAAATGCGTTACAAAATACACTATTTCTAAAACTTGAAATCCATTTTTTCTCATGTCCATGCATCTTGATATCGAGATGATCAATTTGAAGAAATTTAGGTATCAAAATGACTTCTTTCAGTGAAATGTTTGAGGTAGGCTCTAATTTGATTTATTAGAACCTCAGCTCTATATAAACTTTTCCCATATTTAATATTTTATTTATATGTTTTGATTTAATTAAGAATACCCATCAAAATACATATCACCATGAGTTGCAATAGTTTAGAAAGGGAAAATTGTTAAGTTGTTAAAAAGTTCGATGAATTTTGATAAATGTTATAAAAAACTATACGCATGAAACAAAGATGAAAGCGCCACTGTCAATGAATGTGGGGCATGCATGAGATACTTCAGTTTGAGCCATTAGGCTTACTAACGGTTCTGGGGCAGGGGGACTCATATACCCTAATTACTGCGCGCACACACACACCTTGTTTAGGCACTCCAAATAATAAAAAAAAATTTGTTTCACATAAAAATGTAGGGTCAAATGAGTCTTACCCTAGAAGCTCTGTCTTTTCCCTCTAGTACAAAAAATTCATAATCACCTTCATCAGATAGATGTAAAATTAGGTGGCAAAAGATATACCACTACAGGCTCAAAGTCGAAACTCTTTTTCTCTCAAACTATACGATGCTCCTAAATACTAATTTCACATTTGATGGTTAGAGGTAATTGTAACCTTCTTTGCGTTAAAAAGATGCCTCTTTGCATTATAGTGAGTTGGTCTCATTGATCTTTTCACATTTCTTACCAGGCTTGATGAGTGCTGAGGCCAAAGCGCAATCCACCAATTCAAAATTTAATATTTATTTACCACAAAAAAGAGGTTGTGCTTAGGTAGTACATGTTTCCTTATTACTTTCATTGTTCACAAGACTTACATCTTTACCTGTGCATAAATCTCATCCATCACTATTATCATCATTTGAGCTTTATCCCAACTATTTGGAGTCAAGAATCTTATTTCGCCATTTCACTATATCAAAAATCGTACTCTTAATCAGACCATAAATCGCCATATCTTATATCATCACTTCTATCCATTGTTCTTTTGAGCCTTCTCCTGACACTTTAAGAGCCTTCCACGTCATCCATCATGAGGGAACTTTTAGGGCACTCCCGTGCACAATTTAGTAGTGTTCAAAGAGTCACCTTCAACAATTAATCTTTCTTGAGCTCTTTGTATCAATCTTAATCCCAAAAAGCAAAACTTTTACCTCCGGATCGTTTGGCATATATATATCCCTCACTGGTCCTGAGTAGGTTAGTAGGAGCCCCATTTAGATCTCTCACCAACTGGGTTTTGTGCACTACCATCAAAGTTCAGTTTTTCTCTTTCCTAGTGGTGGTGTTTGTGGCCATCTCCATCGTCTTCTGGTCTCTTTCATTGTAGCAACCTTCCATCGTCTTCTGGTCTCCTTCATTGTAGCAACCTCCCTGAAGATATAAATAATGCCTCTAGCAGTGCCACATAATTCTTTCATCATTGATGCCCATTCTGCAGCAGTTGCTATTATCCTCAATTTCGGGTTTTCCCGATAGACAGAGATGCCCTCCAAGCTCCTGCAATTTCTCTCATTTGGTAAGTGCTAAAGTAAGGCAGTCATCGTGGTCCTCTGCAGCATTCTACCTGACTTAGGCAGCTAGGGGGTCTTTCGGTACTCATGTAGCTGACATGTAGACTGAGCTGCAAGCCAAAATCTCTCTCTCTCTCTCTCTCACACACACAAACAAACATACACACACACAAGCCAATCTCTCTCACTCTCTGACCATGTACTGGCCCTTGAGATAAGTGCCAACATTTATGGATAGTATAAAATATGAACTTTACACAATCAAGTTTTGGTTGGAAGATAACATAAAATAATGTGCTCTGCTTTGTTGCTCAAAGTCTAAATCTCTGGTATTCTAAAAAACAGTCGCTCTATAATTAAACTTTTTTGAATACATGACTTGCAACCTTTTTTTTTTTTCCTTAAAAAAGAAAAAAGAAAGAAAATGATAAAGCTTTATTTCATCTCATGCACAACGCAGCTCTAAATCATACAAATAAAATACAATAGAGAACCCAAAAAAGGCCTGTACTATTTGAACTCAGGAGCAACCAAAAGAAAACAGCTCAAAGAGAAAAAAAAACGTATCCTACAAAAATGACGAAAGAGAAAGGGAGAGAGAAAAAACACCAAAAAAACAGGAAAGAGGAAACAAATACAAACCCGAATATTTTTTCTGTCACGATGAGAGAGAAGGCTGTATTGATATGGCTTTCTCAGCCAGTTGTTTGCCTGCAAGGCTTGTGATAACAGCCATGGAAACCAGGTGCTTTGAAACCTTCTCAAACTTCTCCCCTTCCAAATTAAATGTTTGTAGAAGCTCTGAAGCTTCAGAATCAGCAGCCTTTGCCTCTGCAAATAAGCTCTCAGCTTCTTCGATGTCTCCAAGCTCAAGTGCTGCTTCTCTCTCCACCATTGATGAAGCAGCGACAAGCCTTAGTCTCTCGCACCTGGACATGGCTGCCTCTCTCTCCTTTGATAGGACCAACACTTCCTTCTCATGCAATTTCTCAATTGTGTTTTGGATCTCCTCCTCCATCTTATCAAGCTCTGAAGAGGCTTCCTCCACTCTTGCTTGAATGGTTTCTCTCTCTAGACTAAGTGCCTTGGATTCAGCGGAGATTCGGCCTGCTTCCTTGAAGTTTCTAGCAGTGGCTGCGACTTTCTTCTCAGCTTCAAGATCTGGGATCCTTTGGTCAACAAAACTTAGTCTCTGATTGGATGAAGTGATCTCTTGTTGGATGCTTGCCCTTGAAGAAGAAAGTTCCTAAAGGAATTCTTGTAAATCAGTATCTAATGGATGTAGTGACTCTCCTGAACAATAAATGTTGTGGCATAAAATTCATAATAACTATTGGAAGTCAGATGAAAGCTGTAGAACGAACCCGGCAATACTTAGAAGTTAAAAGAAATATGCTCTCTCTCTCTCTGCTCCTGGGTATCTCTCTCGCTCTCTCTCTGCCCCCGGGTATCTCTCTCTATCTCTTTCTCTCTCTGTGACGCACAGAGACACAGAAACACGCATGCCGCTGAAGTCAAAACATTCTTAAGACGTGCAAATATCTTTCATTTACCCAAAACACAAAAACCAAGAACGAAAAAAAGAAGAAACCCCATTAACCACAAGTATTGCTGCAGGATATACAATTGTGTGAAAAAAGGAAGAATGATCACAAGGTCAAGCACCAGGTTACTAACCTGAAGAGAGGCCCTTGCAGCAGAAACCTCTTGTCTGAGTAATTGGATTTCCTCTGATATCTTCTCTTCAGTTTTTGCAAGCCTCAATTTGTCGTCCCTTGACTTCAAAATGGATGAAGCTAGTGCCTTTCGCAACCCAACCAACTCTTCACATGCTCTTGCCTCTCCAGCAGCCATACTTGCTATCTCACTAAGCTTCAACCTATTTTCCTCTGCAAGACACAGAAAGTCATCGACTTCCTTCTTTTTCTTGGTTAAAACTTCACTCTGGGATGATAACTCAGATAATGATGACTGCAACTCATCATACTTCACATTGATTTTTGGATGTGACACATGAAACTCGGAAACAACATTGACAATCCTTCTATCAACTTCTTGGATATGGGAATTATTTTTGGCAATCTCAGCTTCTTTCAGCCTCACTAATTCAAGTAGATTTTCGAGGTCTTTGAGAAGTGAGTTTCTCTTTTGTTGCAAAAGCTCTTTCTCTTTCCTGTCAATTTCAGTTAATTGATCTATGGAATTGCTCAATCCTGAGCGTGCCTCATCAATTAGATGAGATTCGAGGTCGAGTTCCATTTTTTTCATCTCTAAACACTCCATTTTAGAAAGCCATTCCTCCATTTCCTTTGATGAAAGTTCTTCTGCATCCTTCATAATGATATCTGCATTCTCTGAAGCATCCTAAGATAACAAGATTTGTTGTTATTAGATGGTCTTATTCTTTTTTTTTTTGGATGATTACCAAATAGAATATGAGAGAGAGAGAGATTTTGCCATGGTAACCAAAGAAAGAGAAGACAAAGACATGGTACGAAAATTCCCTATGGGTGTTGAGATTCAAGGTAGAGTCATTTGGGTTCTTCATGCATCCATAATAATTGAAAGATCAGGAACTATAAACAATGTTTTAAAAAACGGTCCGCCCGGCGCCCGCTTAGGCGGCCTGAACAAAAAGACTGAACAGCTCTACACAGGCGGTTGTACCTAGGTGGGCACCCAAGCAGGCTGAGCGGGCGCCCAGGACCATAAAGCCTTTTTCGATTTTTAAAATCGCCCAAAAGGGCAAAGGGGGTCATTTTGACCCCCAAGTTTATATGAAAACATTAGGGGGTTTATTTTTAACCCCCAAAGTGGACAAAAAAAAAAAAAGAATCCCTCAATCTCTAAACTTATTTATGATAATCTAAAGTAATTTTTAAGAATCGAAAGTAATTTTTGTGGATTGAAAAAAATTTCTTTTCTCATTGAAATTATTTTTAGGGTGCTATTGGTGGCATTATAAGATTTTTGAGTTGATTAGTAGCTCGATTGAGGTAACCAACATCGAAGATCAGAGATTGGGCAGAAAATGTCAGTTTGTAATCTTTATTTGAGTTTTATTTTTCCAATTTGAGATGGTCTTTTGCAGGGTCTACTAAGGGTGGAGATCCAGGATGGAAATATTGTGTTAACCCGGATAAGAATGATAGGAATAAAATTTATGTGCAATTTATGTGGACATGTTTCTAATGCCGGCCTAAATAGATTTAAAAAACATCTTGTCGGTATTAGAGGTGATGTTGCCCCATGTAAGAAAGTCCCAGAGCTTGTAAAGAAAGAAAATTTTGAATACATTGAAGGTGAAAAGAGTAAAAAAAATTTTTTAAAAAAAGCTATAGCAGAATTAAAGTCAGGGGTCAATGTTTTTTATAACAATATTGACACTGAAGAAGAGGATGAAGAGGGGAAAGAAGAGGTAGCCATGGTTGGTACTCAGAGCTCTAAGAGCAAGAGGGCTTTTGGGTCTAAGTAGCCTTGTATGAGATGACCTATAAATAGTTTTTTTACACCTAGTCCTGAGACAGTAATTGAGAAAGAAAAGCGAGGAAAGGGGAAAAAATAAGTGACAATTGAAAATAGATTTAAGAAGGAAGCTAGAGGCAGGGTGATTCAATATATTGCTCGGTGGTTTTACCATGCGGGAATTTCTTTTAACACCGCTCGCTTGAATAGCTTCCATACGAAGCGATTGGGTAATTTGGGCCAAGTTTGAAAGCTCCAATTCCTTATGAGATTGGAGAGCCACTATTGAAGAAAGAAGTTGAGTATACTAACGAATCTCTCAAGACCCATAAGGAGGGATGGGCTAAATTTGAGGTTTCTTTAATGACAGATATGTAGAGTGATAGGAGAAGGAGGAGTAACATGAATTAGTTGGTAAATTGTCCCTCGGGTACAGTTTTTTTGCGATCAATTGATGCTTCCAATGATATTCATGATGCTCATTATATATATTTTTTAATTGATAAGGGCATTGAGGAGGTTGGGGAGAAACTTGTAATTCAAGTGGTCACAGATAATGCTGCTCTCAATCTAGCTGCAAGTCATTTGCTTCGACAGAAGAGGCCTTGCATATTTTAGACTCCTTGCGCTGCACATTGCGTAGATCTTATGCTTGAAGCCATTGGTGTTTAAAGGAATTCTTTTTAAGGCTAAGAAGGTTACAATCTTCATATACAATCACATATTTACCCTTAGCATGATGCGCAAGTTGACAAAAAAGAGAGAGCTAGTGAGGCCTGGGGTCACTAGATTTGCCACTGCTTACCTTAGTCTACAGAGCATGTATAGGAGAAGGATCGCATTAAAGTCTATGTTTGCTTAAGAGGAGTGGAGTAGGTGTAAGTGGTCTAGAGATGCCAAGGGAAAGAAAGCACAAGATATTGTTTTTTCGAAATATTTTTGTCGTGAGGTGAAGCATGCGATATTAGTATTTTTTCCCTTGGTGAAGGTCTTGCGCTTGGTTGATGCTGATAAGCCCTCCATGGGTTTTATATATGATGTAATGGAAAGGGCTAAGAATGAGATTGCAGAGAATTTGGGCAATGATGTAGCCAAGTACGACCCAATTTGGGAGATTATAGCTAACAAATGGGATAGGCAGCTCCATTGACCAATGCATGCAGTGGGGTACTACTTGAACCACAAATTCTTTTATACAGATGTGCATATTGCGTCAAAAGGGATAATTATGGAAGGTTTTAATGAGTGCCTTGAGAAATTAGTTCTCGATCCACATATCCAAGATAAGATATCAACTGAAGATCTTATATCGTACAAGTATTCTTTGATGTCATTTGGGAAAGATATGGCATTAAGACAGAGAAATAAAGATGAACCAAGTAATATACTTTGGACTTTTGTTTTATAAATTGTAATTTTCTTTCAAGTTTCAACTTTTAAGTTCTGATAATGTTAAATACAATTAATTATAAAGGTTGCCCACATATTGCAGCCCAATGGTGGAGACAACATGGGAGTAGCGCTCCAAACCTCCAGAAGATGGCTATACGGATCTTGAGTTTGACAACTACCTCTTCTGGTTGTGAGTGCAATTGGAGTTCATTTGAGATGATATTTTACTATTTTACAATTTTATATGCTTTTCTTTTTTATAAGTTCATTTTTCTAATATAGATTCATAGAAGGTAAGAAGATCATAGACTCATAGTAGTTAGTAGTTACTTATGCATTTTTTCATATAGGTGCATACAAAGAGAAGAAATAGGCTTGAGCAAAAGAAGCTCAATGACTTGGTTTTTGTTAAGGAGAATCAAAGGCTAAAGGAGAAGAAAAACCAGCCAAAGAAGGATCCTATCTCTTCGAAAGACATAGAGAATGCTTCAGATTGGTTAGTTGGTGACCCTGATACTAAGGAGGTCTTCCCTGGGGAGGGTTTGACATGGGAAATGGTCGAGGAGGCTTCAGGGCAAAACCTTCTGATCCTAGGAGGGCCACTCGAGCAACTTCTTCTGCTGGTACTTCACACTCACGGAGGGACATAGAGGAAGAGGAGGCAGATTTGAAAGAATCTTTGGAAGAAGAAGAATATGTTGAAGAGGGTGATGATTCTGATGATGACGGCCTCGATTTTGATGCAGATGGAAGCAATGAAAATGATGATTTTGATTCTTACTGATGTCTTCTCTCTTATTTTGTAGTAACTTTATTGCACCATCTTGGTTTGGGCTTTAGACATTTGGACTATTTTGTTATGTGCTTTATACTTTTTTTGCCTTTTTGGACTGTTTTGTTGTGTGGTTTAATGGTTTTTTATAGTTTTGGAAGCTAGTTTGTTGAAGGCTTGGAGGGTTGGAGACTTGGATGTTATTATGGTTTATTTTATGGATATGGAACATGGAGAATATGAGAGTTGGAGACCTTACAATAGCTTATTATACTTTTAAATGTTTTGTATGGTTTGAAATTTTGAATAAGTTTATTCTCAACCTGAGATATGTGATATGTTTGTATATAAAAACATATGTTGCGAACTTGCGATATGGAATAAATTACAAAATTTGACACAAATATATGCATATATGTGCATTTGGATAACAAATATATAAAAAAATGCTAAGAATTTATACTACAGGGCACCCAAGGTTCTAGGCGCCCGCCTAGGCGCTGGGTGCCAGGCAGGCCGCCTAGGGGCCGCCTGTTTTTTGAAACCTTGACTGTAAGCAAGCTGAAAACTGAATCTCTCAACTGAGTTTTGTGCAGGAAAATCCAAAATAACATACACCAACAACTCCCAGGGAAATGAGAAAATGTTCATGTTATTGAACATTTAGGCATTTTGATGGATAAGCAGCAATGTAAATCAAAATGCAGCATTGTCTACCTTCAGATGAATATTTGCAGAGGATCAAAAGATTCAAGACCTTATTTGTGAAATTCTGAACCAAAGAGAAAACCTAGCATAACAGTAACCAGATCTATTCAAAAGCCTTCCTCCAAGATATGGTCAAGAATAGTGTCAAGAAAATCTTTCTCTAACTCTAAATGCTATTCACAAAGCCTAGAAAACACTATATAGATTGCTTTCAGGTGGCTGACATTCCAAAATTAGGTCTACTTTGATTTTCTCTAATGTTCAATTATAGTTAGAAAGGCCACCTTCTGTACAGCAATTACTTCGAAATTGCTTGAAGAATATAATTACAACAGAAAAGGTTTAAAAGGAAACCTATACAATGGTAAGAACAAAATCAGCAATTCTCTTCTCCACATCCTTTCCTGGATTTGAAGTCTTCGACCGAACGAGAAGAATACATGACAAGAGTGACCAGCAGAAATTGTTATCCTATTCCTCAAAAAAAAGAGTGACCAGCAGAAATACCTGCCAAGCAAACACTTTCCCTCCCTCCTAGTAAGTGTGTATTATATATAGTTTATATGGTCAACTGAAACAAGACGCGAGTTAAGGTGCCAAAAATTCCCAATCAGCTATATTTAAGATTACTTTTCAGGGAATGTCAGTGGGGTTCACACCCATAGATTCAAAGTTGCGACAACTATTGCCTTCAAGTCGCTGTGGGCTTGAACCCTAACAGTCTTCCTTAGGTACATTAAAACTCCCAGGCCTATCAGTAGTTTGATCTTTCTCTAAAGATATGGCATATATTCACCATGCACAAATCCTACATGAGGTATGGCACTTCATGAGAAATACCATCCAGCTTTCAGGGGATTTCTGCATCTCCTCTATACCCATTTAATGATGATCATAGAGTTCCCTTTCAACAAAAAGACACATTCTAGGAAAGACTTCTAGGGTTCTAATGTGAAGAACCTAGAAATCAATACAAGTAATTCACCGGCAAAAAGGAGCGAGGTCGACTTAAAATTAGGTCCAACTTAACAATACTACCCTTCTTCCAATAACCTGCATCAGACCAAGTTTGAATTCTATGTAGAACCCACTAAAAGTGTCAGGGGAGATTAAGAAATCACATATAAGATTGATTAACCAATCGAAATGCAGCTCACGTTGGGAAGAATGCAATGACGAACTCAGAACCCTAGGTGATTCATGAGGGGCCCCCAAGTGAAATGAATACCATATCAGATTTGCTTTTATCCATTTTGAACATTTTTGTCCTGAAACATTCTAGGAGCGAGGTCGACTGAAACACATGGCATGTGGAAAATCAATAAGAAAAGGACACTTGGCATATAAGATAGCAAAACGTTCACTTTCATTAAAAAAAAAAGGATGCTCAGTATGCACCATAAATACAAGGCAAGAGTCCATCTTTGAAATCCAGAATGTGTTTCTGTCATTCCCAAATAGCACCACACAACTATAACATGAAAAGCTTGCAGTGCTGGAGTCCTCATAAAGACATCCCACAGCTAATAAGAAACATTTTACCAGAACCCTTACAAAGCCTCAAATGTTCCTAACTCAATTAAAGAATTGCACCAAGATGTACATCACAACTTATGGTGTTGAGAGAGTCAATGGACAAAAATAACGAGCTGCAACTCATAGCCAACACACTGTTGAGTTAGTATAACAAAATAGTGGCTCACGTTATATGCCTAAGGTGGGCTCATCTGCAGGCTATAAAAATGTCATATAAAAGCATATAGCATTTTCAACTTCAAAATTGCAATATGTAAATCCAACCCAATGCAAAACCCTCATGAAAATCCTATTCAATTCTTTCAATAAAATATTCAATAAAAGATGAAAGGCTGAAACGTCAGAATTCACCAGGAGTTCCTAATGGGGTAATAATAAGGGGCATGATTAAGTAACAATTTTTTTATAAATCTAAGAGAATGAGTCCTAAGTAGAGGTGGTCAGGGTCGCGGGTGCCACAACGCGATGTCTAGAGTTCCATTATAACCAGGTCCCAAGTTAATGTTAAAAAAAAAGGTTTGTAAATCTAAAGTTTGTTGGTCGCGGGGTTATGAGACAAAAGAATGGTGATAAGGACTTCAAGTAAGGGATAAGAGTTCCACACAGGTTTTTCAATGTCTCTACCATCTTTCATCTAAGCTAGAACTCCAGAGAGCAACCCTGGAACACAGTTCTGCATACCTGGAGCGGGAACAAGTTCTTGTCGCGCTTCTGTACTGTTGGGAACACATTCCCCATCTCCTTGGAAATTCTTTCTACGGACTTGTTCAGAAAGAGTCCCTTGTCATTTGACAGGCTCCACATTGGGATGCACAAGATGGATCTCAAGGTAAAATTTGGGTTTTTAATAAGGGGCATAAAATTTAAAAGAGAACTTGAGTATAAAGAGTTTGACAATTATATCTTTAATTCTGCCTAATCTCACTTCAGCTCCCAAAAACTATGGTCTCTACAGCTTTGGAGGGGTAATTGTGCCAGGTTAGAGGCCAATAGGGATATTTGGTTCAGGATTGGGGATGGTTGAAGGGTTAGGATGATGTCTAAGATGTTAACAAGGCATTTCATATTTTTCCTAAAGGCTTTAGGGTTTGTTTTCCAATTCTGAACTGAACTCCTGGGGATTGGTAAGCTGGTGTCCTTAATTAAGGCAGGTTCACAGAACCTAGAAGTTTTTTGAGTTGAGTAGCTTCTTAGCTGGGTTAGAAGAATCCCTTTGTAGTTATTGATGCTTAAAGTCAGAAGGATCTTTCATTCCAATAATTGGCAGAATTCTAGGTCATCGTAGTCAAATCATCAATAGTAAAGGTCTTGATAATCAAATCTTACAAATCCCAAGCCAAGCACTCTTCAAGTTGCTTGGTTTTTACCAGTGATTAAAAATCGCTGATCCATATCGGAAATCACCTATCCAGACTGAGGAATTGCTCCACACCGTGCCGATTCGTAGTCGAAATCGGCAATTCGTTGTATATACAATAATATAGACGTTTTTAATTAAACTAAGACGTCTGGTGGCTGCTTGCAGACTTTAACATCTAGGTCTGAGGTTCGAAGCCAGTAAAAAATCATTTTACCATACCAAAATCATATGCAAAAGAGCATATAATATATAGACGTATTTAACATAAAAAACTAGGCCGCTTGGTGACCAGAGCTTAACTTTAATCTCTATGTTCCAGGTCCAAACCCTGTCAAAATTTTCTTAATGTACCAAATGATTTATATACCATGTGAAAAAAAAAGGAAGATGGGGGTACATACATTTAACCTCAATGTCAATAACCACCACATTAACCGACTAGGCTATTTAAGGTATTTGCTATAAAATAGCTACAGTATTTATTATAAAATTTAATGTTTGCTTTGTTTTTTTCTAAATTTGTTGGATCGACGATCCAGTTTGGTGATCCAAATCAAGATCAGTGGGTAGGCGATCTGCCCCAATGATCCATTTTTTAAAACACTGGTTTCAGACCATCATGGCTAAAGCCTTTGGCTTGCTAATGAGACAAAGAACATTAAGTTTTAGATAAAGGTGTATTTTGTGCTGATATCAAAGAAAGCTCAAGGATTCAATCTCGTAGTTGCCTCGGTAAGGAGAGTTTCAAGGTGTGAGGGGGGAAACTATGATATAGGTAGACAGGAGAGTTACTTCCACAAAACCAATGATCTCTGGACCAGGCATGATGTTACAAGCCACCAAAGGAGTTTGAAGTTGGGTCTTGATGACACTTTATTTTTTAAAAGATCTTGATAAAAGAGTCTATTAGAAACCCTAATACATCCAGGGTGTGATACCTCTTCATAGATGGTGATGAGTGCCTCTTTATCTTTTTATGGGACCATTGTTCATTGCAACACCATTGAGTTAGTGGTTCTTGTGCTTCAATAAGGGCAAATCATGAAAAGGTGACTCACTGAAATTGCACAGATGGGTGAGCCACAAGTTTCCAATCTCCTGGAGTAATTCAGACAACATTCAAAAGAGATTTCTGAGCTTTGCGATCTATTAAAAGCTTATATGTTCACCACATACTTAGGGCAATGAAACTGCTCTCGCAGCAGTGGAGGTACATCTCATCCCACTTCCACAATGGGTGTTGACTAGTATTTGGTCTTGCACCCTTCAGTGCCTCTACTTGCAGGGTGTACAAGCCGGATGCCTTACGTGACCGACATCTATCACACCTCTCAAATATCTCTACTTTGTGTCAAAAACCAAATTCTACATTTCAACATGCTTTTGATATGGACTGTTCTAGTCAACAGTGAACATAATTGTAATATCACTAAAAGAATGTGCAATAAAAGCACAAAGGCAGGTCAAACTAAGAGGGTCAATTGTAAAACATGGATGCCTAGAACCACAACAGAAACTACAATTTAAAGAGCACGATGGAATTATTGATCGTTAGTTTCTTAACAAAGCAAAACGTCATATAATTCATAAGAAGAAGACCACTCCAATCACTGGATATTCTCTTAGGGGCCTAAATTACAAATACAATGAAGAAATGTGAAGCAAATTGCGAAATGGAAGTCTCAATTCATGTTTCCACTTCAAAGTTCCCTTCTTAACATGGAGTACAGAAATTCTTAAAGATGACTTATCACAAAATTTATAAAGAGGAATAGACGAAATATCATAAAACAAAACTATTAACTACTAATTTACTCATCAAATGCAGAAGGGGCTAGAGAGAGTAGGGGGATTAAGCTCACCTTTGCAAACTGTTGTAGCAGTAAGACACCCTCTTCCTCAGCAGCAACCTGAGACTCCAAAACCTCTTGCATTCTCAAATCCACTGAATCACACTCTGCCTCTGCTTCCCTCAAAGAAGTCAAAGCTGCCTCCTTTGCCTTCTCTGCAGCTGCTAGACTCTCACTAACTCTCTCTGCCCTCTCAAAATCCTCACTTTCACAGGCCTCCTCAAGCTCTGTCTCCATTTCCTTGTACTTCATCGAAGCCAAGTCACTTCCTCGGCTGCTTCTCTCCTCTTCCTAACAACTTCTTTTCGAGATGCTGACACAGAGGCAGCCATAGCCCTCATCCTCTCTAGCTTATCAGAAATCGTACCCTTAATGGACTCGAGTTTCTCCATGGCTGAAACATCACCGGGTTTCGAGTTTTCAGTGACACACTCTTTCTTTGAACTGAATTCTTCTGGTTCCCCAATCGCCTGATCATCAAAAACTCCTTTTTCTTTGGAATCCAAAACCTCATCATTTGCGTCGACTGGTTTGTCCTCTGCAAAACTCGAGTGAACAGGTGTAAAACTCAATTGATTGCGGCTATCATTCAAGCTCGTGCTCGCATGATTCAACGAATCATCATCCAGAGCCCTAATTTCTTGATAATCAATAGCTTCACTTAATCGATCAGAATCCAGCGAATTCTCAATTGAATTTTCTGTGGAGAATTTGTCCAATTGATCTATGTCTAGCGAATTCACAGTAGACAAATCATGGAAAGAGATCGAAGAGCTCGATCGCGAATACGATTCGGAGGAGTTTGGAGGGGCAGAATAATCGACGGCGGAGCTTTCTCTGGCATAACCGATCCTTATCCCTCTCTTCTTCTTCCGAGGGGCCTGCCTTGTCTTGGAGCTCTCATGTCCGTTGGATTTCAGGGGCTCGGGATCAATCGGGCGGACTGGATTTAGAGTGAGATCAGAGAAGAGGTTCTCATCAAGAGCCTGAGAGGAAGTGGAGGTCTCAGTAGGAGGAGAGAGAGAGGGTGGTTTCGACGGGGAAGGGGATGTTATCGTTGAGTCCTTCTGGTTATTGCTATCTTCTAGGTTTTCGAATTGAGAAATGGAAGAGGGAGTAATGAGAACCATTCCTTCGAAGAGAGATCCAAAGTCTTCCTCCGCCATGGCTACTGCTGGTTTTTGTGAGAGAAAGTCACATTAGTCAGTGATGATTGCAGTAATGGTTATTCACAAAGTGATGCTAGAGAGAGAGAGAGAGAGAGAGAGAGAGAGAGAGAGAGACGACACCGAGAGAGAACTACGTTCGTTCGTACGTACCTACCGTAGAGAACGTAACTAAGTTTCGTTTCGTAGAAGGAAAGAAGAAAGTAAAAGTTAAAA